TCCCCCCCCCCCCCCCCCCCCCCCCCCCCCCCCCCCCTTCGCACCCCCTCTTCCAGAGACGAACGGTGCTTTAAGCTGGAATATTCTTTTCGTTCTTTTTTCCCAGCTTCTCCTCCCCACGTTGTAGAAGAAATTCTTTGTAAAAAAGCTGGTTTGTCTAAAATGCTTCTTGAAAAACTACTTTCATTAGCTACAGAATATATACGGGAAAAATAAAGATTTTTAACTGTCATTAAACGACCTGATAATCAAGCATCTCCAAACTTTCATTTAAACTCACAAATAAGTGAAATTTGTGCGGCCGAGCCGACCCCCGACCTACTCCTCACAAACCATGCTCGACTCTACGTACTTTTCGCTACAAACAAGCTAAAAATACACATAATTTACCCGGAAGCATGCAATTTATCCGGACACTCATTTACTGGATGTGAACAGAAAACCACAAGTACTGCGCTACTTCGCGAGCATTTGTGGATTTTGTAGCCTCTCGAAATTCCACGGTATTTTCTCCCCCGATCCTTAACCCTTTCCCTAATCTGCAAATTTCAAGTTTTGCAAGTAAAAACCCCGGCCCAGACAAAACAGCAGAACCCGGAAGCGGGCTTTCGGCTAAAAAAAGCTTCCAAAACTCATCCAAGGGACACGCGTGTGGCATTATGAGGCCAAAAAATCCTAGCAAAATTACGACACAGAAGTCGGTTTACTGATAATGCACACTGCATCCACTGGTTCATAAAAATATCCACGCGAAAGGGAATCATTCCCCCGCACTGTAAGTACTAGACCCACTCATTTGATAGGAAACAGATGCGAAAAAGTGAGACAATAAGTGTGAAGTTCAACCGAACAAGAGCACGATATCACCATACATAGTAGCAAAGTTACCACAAGATGCTGATGAGTACACTGCTTCTCGCAAACCTAGCTCAGATTGCAACCTCATGCAAACAGAGCTGCAAATTATTCACTAATTAATACATTCCACGTGTGGCAGACTGTTCTTTTTTGACCGGATGATTTTTCGAACCTATAACATCAACTCTTTTTTTTCACTAAATGCGCAATAGCATAAAAAACAAGA